ATTCTAATAAAAAAATGTTAAAATAATAATTTATTTTTAATTTCGTGTCTTATAAATATATATATATATATATATCAATTTTAGTATATTATAATTCAATAAATTATTTTATGTTTATTTATATATCTTGATAATATTAAAATATATCGTTATTATTATGTTTTTTTTTCGCATTTTCCGTGCACCGGTAAGCCGTTGTAGCGGTATTCCGGCCGAATCGTAGTGCTTGCGGCGAGCGGCTATGGGTATTCCGGTCTTTTCTCCGCGGCACAAGCTCCCGCCTCTTCGCGCGGCCCGGAAAGCTCCGAAATTTTGCCGAAATTTAGGGGGTGCTTAACAACTTTGCTTAGAGTTCCTGCGGCATAACCCGGTTAAATTTTCCCGAATTTTGGGTTGCTTCCGGCGACGCGGCTCGCAGGTTTCCGGACAAATTTCTGGCGGTTTCCAAAAACACACCGGACCAAATTTTGGGGAAATTTGGGGATTTATCCGAATCGATATTTCTCGAAAATTTCGTGTTGGGTGTCTCCGTGGCTTTGCCTCTCTCTGTGTCTCCCAATCTGTTTCCGTGTGTTCGTATCTATTTACTTTCGAAATCTCTATCTTTCTCTGTCTATCTTTGTGCATCTCTGTGTATGCCAACCTGTTTCTTTTTGGTATTTGCGCCTCTCTGTCTCTATCTGTCTGTCTCTCTCTCTCTCTCTCTCTCTCTGTCTCTCGGGTTGTCTCGGTTTGTCGTTATGTGTTCGTGTCTGTCGTTCGTCTCTATTTCTTTGTGTCTTTTTTGTTTCTCTGTCTATCTTCGTGTGTCCGCGTTTGTTATCTGGTATATTTGTTTATCTCTGTCTTTATTTTGCTGTCTGTCTACGCTTATTACTACGGGGCGGCTCGCTAAGATGGCATATTGCCGCATTGCCACGTGCCATATATCCCCCTTTTAAGTTTGCAAATTCCATTTTCTTCTTTTTATTTTTGTTTTTAATTGTTGTTTTCATTGTTCTTGCTTACCTGCCCTCCATCTCTTTCTCTCTTTCTTTTTTTCTTTCTTTCTCTTTCTCTCCTTTTTTTTTCTCTCTTTCTCTCTCTCTATTTCTTTCTCTTTCTCTCTTTTTTTTCCTTCTCTCTTTTTCTCTCTCTATTTCTTTCTTTCTCTCTTTTTTCTCTTTTTTTTTGGTTTTCTCTTTGTTCTGTTTTTCTTTCTCTTTTTTTTCAAAAGAGAGAGAGAAAGCGAGAGAAACCAAGAGAAAGAAATAGAGAGAAAGAGAAATGGCCTTAAGGTCGCATTTCCCGTGCACCGGCAAGCCATTGTAACGGTACTCCGGCCGAATCGTAGTGCTTGCGGCGAGCGACTATGCTTGTGCCGGTCCGCGGCATAAGCTTCCGCCTCTTCGCGCGGCCCGGAAGGCTCCGAAATTTTGCCGACATTTCGGGGGGTTCTTAACAACTTTGCTTAGAGTTCCTGCGGCGTAACCCGGATAAATTTTCCCGAATTTTGGGTTGCTTCCGGCGACGCGGCTCGCAGATTTCCGAACAAATTTCTTCAGAATTTGGCGGCGTTCTAAAAAAAAATGCCGGGCCAAATTTTGGGGAAATTTGGGGACTTGTTCGAATCGAAATGTCGCAAAAATTTCGTGTTGGGTGTCTCTGTGGCTTTGCCTTTCTCTGTGTCTCCCAATCTGTTTCCGTGTGTTCGTATCTATGTATTTCGTAATCTCTGTTTTCTCTGTCTATCTTTGTGCATCTCTGTGTGTGCCAATCTGTTTCTTTTTGGTGTTTATGCTTCTCTGTTTTTATCTGTCGGTCTCTCTCTGTCTCTCGGTTTGTCTCTGTGTGTTCGTATCTGTCGTTCGTCGTTTTTTTTTGGTGTTACTCTGTCTATTTCCGCGTGTGCGTGTCTGTTATTTGGGTAATGTCTGTCTATTTCTGTCTTTGTCTTGCTGTCTGTTTTCGTGTATTTTTACGGGTCGGTTCGCAAAGATGGTATATTGCCACGTTGCCACGTGCTATATGTCCCCCTTTCAAGTTCCGTCTTTTTTCTTTTCATTCTGTCTTTTTTCGTTTTTAATTGCTATTATTGTTGTTCTTGCTTATCTGCCTTCTTTCTCTCTCTCTTTCTCTCTCTCTTTGTTTTCTCTCTTTCTCCTTTTCTCTCTCTATTTCTCTCTCTGTTTTTTTCTCTTTTTTTGTTTTTCTCTTTCTTTCTCTCTCTTTTTCTCTTTTCCTTTCTCTGTTTCTTTGAAAGAGAGAAAGAAAGAGAGAGAAAAAGAGAGAAAGAGAAAGAGAGAAAAAGAAAGAAATAAATAGAGAAAGAGAGATAAAGATAGAGAGGGAAAAATTTACTTAGGTCTTGTTAAAATATCCATTGATCTTTCTTGGGACCGGAGACATTTTTGGGGGAGCCATTGTTTTCTCGGTTATTTCTTTCTTTCTTTTTTTCGTGTTTTTCTTTTTTCTTTTTGTTTTCTTTTTCTCTTTCTCTTTCTTTATTTATCTCTTTCTCTGTTTGTTTTTGTTTCTTTTTTTGTAATTTTCTTATTGTTGTTTTTTCCCTTTCCATGTTTTTCTATTTCTATTTGTTTGTTTTTCTTATTTATGTCTTTCCTTTTTCTTTTTCGTCTTTAATTATTTTTATTGATATGCCATTGATGGAATGAACGGGTTCTCTCTAAAAATATATATATTTTAATTTATAATTTAAAATTTAGATATTTAAATATTGAAATAATAAATTACAATTGGGGGATAAACTATTGGTTTTGTAATTTAGTATTATAATAGACATATATATGTTTATTAATTCGTTCTAAAAAACACTAAAAACAACGTCCTAATTAAAAAGATGAATAATATATCGAAAATCTCGATCCAAAAAACATAAATTCTACATGATATACATAATAATAATTTTATAACATTTATACTAAATAAAATAATTATAAATAAATAAAATATCTATAAATGAAATAATCATATATTAGAAGGTATTAAAGAATAATCCTAAGCAAAGATAAACGAAATAATTAACTAATTTGTTATTTATATATATGGCGAAATGCCATATTCCGATACCCCTAATATTCTAGGTGATATTTTGTGCAAATAGAATGAAACCCGTCTAATAAGGAGGTTAGTAGGTAAAAGATTTATAGGTTCTAAATATAATAATCTTTAATATGGTATGGGTAGTCTATTTGTATAAATATTTTATATAATGGAAAATAAAATGGTCAAATATATCTAGATTTTAATAAAATAATAAATATTATCCTAGTTAAAATATATAAATCCTAGCTATATAGAAGCAATATCTTGAAATGCAGCGTTAGTGAGCAATAAATCTTGAGTTGGAGCGGGGCGAGTCCTAAGCCAATTATCTATTCTTAAGGCAACAAAATTATACAACCACAATTATCCGATTATATTGTATTAAAATGAATAATTATTGAGAAATTCATTTTATATATATTGAGATCAGGCGCATTACGAGGCAAGAAATATATAATATATTGAAGGCCCTAAATCTGATATCCAATATTAATTTAAATAAGAAAATAGGATAAAAATCCAGAATGATTTGTAATCACTTGCATTTTAACGCCAAATAAATAAAATCCGCTAAGAACGTTTTCGAAATCGATTTCGATTCACGGACTAAGAAGCCCTAACCCATCCTATTCAACAAACAATTTAGCTTACGATTATTGGATTCGACACAAAATGGTTCTTAAAAATAATTCCAAACATCGTTTTAACCGTCTTGAAAATATATGTTTGTTAGGTTGATTTAATATAGTACTAGGAACATACATAAATTGTTGCTTCTATTGTTTTCTCCAAAATACAATAAGCATATAATTAATTTGTGCTAGATAATTGATGTATTAAATTTATTTCCCATCATTTAATCAAACAATTCGATCCATCTTTATATATTCTTAAATTATATATTAAATTCTTCAAATAAAAATATAAATCCAATTGTTATAATATTCCAAAATATTTAAAAATAAAAATAAAAAATATATACATTATTTATTATTATATAAGTGATATTATTAATATTATATATATTTTAAATTTATTAAATTCCCCCCCTTTTCTAAATCAAATAAAACATAATATTCTATAAAAAACAAATATAGCTATAAATTTATAAAACTTATAAAAATGATTTTTATTTAACATCAAAAATTCAAATAATTTTCAATATTCATTTTGGAATACCAAAACAATCAATTTAAGAAATTTAAATTCTAAAAATATAATTTCTTAATTTCAATACAATTTAACATATTCTTGAATTATCTTATTCCAAACACAATATCACATCATCAATAATTAACATCCCAATCGCCGATTTATCCAACATAAGGGTTATACAAAAATCACGTTACCTAGCCCACCAATCACGATCCCACAGATTCCAATCGCGGAGCAACATTGGTCATCGCTGCTGTTTCCGTTTCGCTTTTTGCTGTCTTATCTCAAATGTTGGTCTTCCTCCATCCATACCTGGAAATTAAAAGGTAGCTCGGATAGGCAGGGCCTCACTAGTGAAACTCGTCCAATCGCCGTCCAACGGCGGTCCCACTGCGGAATTCGGCGGTGAAACTTCGGCTTGCAACTTCCAGCGTTTGCCAGTAAGCAGATTTAGAAAGCACAGCCTGGGCCTGCGCAAGCGAAATCAACATTCAGACCGTGCAGTCAAAATGAGCGAGACGTGCGTCGGCACCACAATCTAAACACCATGCAGCGTCTCAATTCACAAGCATTTTGTTAACCTTTCGCAGTCCAATCGCCAGCCTTTCGCGGCTCGAGTTTTCCCAATTGTGCGGTTCAACAAGTTGCCGCTGTTCATAAGTTTAAGACATGCAATTGCGGACGGCCCCCACATATCATAGTGCTTAATTTAATCGAAGACACAATATGTTTAGGAATTATGTTTGTATTTGTTTAGAGCAATAAATATAATATTATCATTGATCAGCAAATAAACACACTTTTGGTGAGTCATGTTATGCCGTGGCAAAGCTTTCGGTTGCTACCTCATGAGAGCCATTGATGAGCCTGGACTTTTGCTTCCTCAGCTCATCACAACTCAATGCTGCCACTGACATGCAGCTGAGGTTGGCGCTTCTTGCCTTTCTCCTCGGCCGGCGCAGTACCTTGCGGTCGGTCGGCGGATGTCTCTTCCTGCTAAGCACTGTCCCTGCTTTGAATGCCTGCATCCCGTCCGCTGTAGCAGCATCCAGCTTCTTCTGCATTTTGCTCAACATCCACCAGTTTCCAGCCAACGCCGCATACCCCCCAGAGACTTGTTCCAGAGTTTTCGCATGTCATCTTCAGTCCAAAGAATCAGGGATCGGAACTTCTTCGAACCCTGAGTGGTATGTGGAGTTGCCCTGATACCTCTTGGACCCGAAAAACACGAGAAACAAGGCAACAGCTCCATGCCTTCCGCCGGCCGCGAAGCCTCGGCACGTCTCCTTTTGCCCCCCAAAACGCCCTCACTCCGTTCCAACCGAGTCGGCGCACCGGTGGCATCGGGAGACTGCCAAGGGAACGTTCTTCTCCAAAATGCAAGGCAAAAAAAACACAGCTTCTTGGAAGGGCTCTTCCCCTTCTGCGAACAAGAAGCATGGCAAAAAGGGCTCTGGTTTTGAGAAGTGTATGCCCTCCACAGCAGCGCATTGTATGGCGCTAGCGCGGGCAAACCAAGTCCGCGGACTCAACAGTTTTGGGGGCCGTTGGGGACACCACCAACCTGGATCCAAAATTTGGGGTCCTCTGAGAGGTGCGCACAGAGGGTCAAGCTCAAGTTGATATACAGCTTTGAAGGGGTACTTGCGCCTGGGCCGAGACCCCACTGTCAGGTCTTGCGCTTCGCGCCTCCGGCAGAAGGACCGGCAGCAAAGCAGCTGCGCAGGCTTCGTCACCTGGTGACTAACAGGCGCAAATCCAAATATGGCATCAACACTCTGACTGGGGAACTTCAATTTTGGATCCTTTGTTGGACCTGGTGAATACATCGGGATCGCGTAAACGATGCATGGCACTCGGATATGGTAATTCTCAAAAGCCGCGTTCGGATTAAGGATCCTCTTTTGTGCCTGGCAGGTTTGTGTGCGTAAGTCGCACAGCCCTTGAAGCCTGCATGTACCTGACACCTTCCCTGTGGGGTGGACTCCAATGAAGTGCCGGCTCTGTGATTTGGGATCCGTCGTGTCATGATATAAGCCCCAGCCCACTGCATGCTTTTGATACGAACCCTCAGTTGTCGGTAGAAAACCACAATCAACATACCTCCATCGCCGCATCGGGGTTCAATTTTCCGAACCCAAAACGATCCAAAGAGGGTATCGAACAAGCCGTAGCCATTGTGGCGCTTTTCCCGTTGCAATATCTCTGGCTATTTCGCTCTCGGCTGGAGCGAGCAAACAAGACGCACCCATTACGAACTTTCATCATAGACCCCCTTGGACGGACGTCAATTTCGAGACTTATGTCCAACCACGGTGTTCCTTTTCCGGGTGTTTCTCAAAATAGGGTCCCCTGAAGTAAGCGGTTGGTTTCTCCGTGGGTTCCTTTTCAACATCAAGAAAAAAAAAGATGGGTCCACCATTTTGACAAAAATCCCTAGTCAAAGCCATCCGGGATGGAAACCCCGCCGGCCTGTTGGGCATCCCAAGGCGCAGCTTCTGTGGCGCAGGGAGCGGACCTCCCTTGGCCATGGACGCCAAAGGTGGGGCGTGGTCAATTGGGGCACCGGTCTGCGAAAACCGCGCTCTAGGTAGCGCCCACCCAAAAAGATCCAGAAAGATCCGCGGCTGCCACGCAAAAATCACCGAGAAGTGCACAATCACAGAAAACAACAAAAAACAGAAAGTGATCTTATTTTTCAAGCAAAACACAAATGCGAGACTTTGCGTGGCAGGCGTCAGAAAAGTGAGCAACAGCACTGGCAACAGCACTGGCAACAGCACTGGCAACAGCACTGGCAACAGGACAAAAAGGGCCAGGGCCACGGGCTACAAAATTCGAAAGATGACGAGAATGAACGAGGAAACGCGGGAATGAATGAGGAAACACGTCCAAAAATCGGCACAGAAGAGCACAACAAGCTGCTCTTATAGCTGCAGCCCATGGCATCCAACAGCCGCTAGCGCGCTTTGTCGTTCTGCCAAACGCAACATGTGGCAGGTCTTATTCACTCCATCCACGCACCAAATCCTCATCTGGTTGCTTATTGCACGCTAGTCGTCCTTCTCACCTCAAAGTCTCCCGTCGTGCCAAGCAGCTGTGACTTGCGCCGATTTGATCTGAGGCTCGCGCTTCGCCCAGGCGGCACGCGGCACCATGTGCCCTCCGAGATCCAGCTTGTAGTCCTTAGGCTCAAGACCCAACACATTGAGGGCCAGCCGGAGATGCCCCTAACTCAAATCAATAGGCTGCTTCCTACAGTGTTAGGGAAATTTAACCTTTCCTGATGTCCTTCTTTTTACTCCGCGGTAGCCTTCAGAAATGATGTAGAGTTGGGCTAGTTGCTACAATCTTAACACGTACCGCGCCCCGAATCCGAATCTGAGCGCCCCGCAAGCTCCATGCCAAGATCCCACAGCTGAAAGCCTTGCTTTGCCTAGGGCACCAACATGGCTTCCCAACAGCTTCACAATGGCCTACCTGGCATTTGTCTGAACATTGCATCCCACCGCAAAAAAAAAGAGTGCGCACGAGCAGACCATTCAAAACAGTCGTTGTAGTCTTCCTTGCCATGTGGGCCGTCACAGTGAGAACGCGTTTCCCCACCCCCCAACCCCATCCAGCCTCCTGCAGACTCTTGCAAGAAATATATGGACAAACAAATAAATCCACCCAATCCAATCCAATCCAAGCCAATCCAATCCAATCCAATCCATCAGTCGGTCGGTCAAATCAACCAATAAATAAATAAATCCATATGTCAAATCAACTCAACTCAAATCAAATCAACTCAACTCAATCAATCAAGCAAGCAAGCAATCAATCAAATCAATCAACCAATCAACCAATCAAACCAACCAACCAACCAACCAACCAACCAATCAATCAAACCAAATCAACCAATCAACCAATCAACAAACCAACCAATCAACCAATCAATCAATCAAACCAACCAACCAACCAACCAACCAATCAATCAATCAATTAAATCAACCAACCAACCAACCAATCAATCAATCAATCAAACAAACCAAATAAATCAATCAACCAATCAACCAACCAATCAACCAATCAATCAAGCCAACCGACCAACCAACCAACCAATCAATCAAAAAAACAAACCAAATCAATCAATCAACCAATCAACCAACCAATCAACCAATCAATCAATCAATCAATCAATCAAACCAACCAACCAACCAACCAACCAACCAACCAATCAATCAATCAATCAAATCAACCAACCAACCAATCAAACAAATCAAATCAAATCAATTAATCACACGTCTCGATGTGTGCCAACCAAAATGGCCAGTTTCCGCGCAGCTTCCGTTTCAAACCCAAGGTCTGTGGCTCCTGCCAGCCAAGCTCCCAGGGCAACCAATTGCACTGAGCCGGCGCCGGGGTACCTGAAGCGATGGATTGGCACTGTCGCCGCATCTGTTTTCTGTTGAGGGTACATGGCTATGGGTCAAATTTAAACCACCAGGGCACCGCACGTTTTAGTCCTTGTTTCCATTGATCCCGGTTCCACTTTGAGTACATAATTTTGACCCACCGCCATCTGTTTCTTGTGGTTATATGGCTGTGGGTCAAAACCAATGGGATCCCATTTTGGGTAGGTGAATTCACCACCCATTTTAGAACCTATTTTAGTGGGGATTGGGATGTTCACTAGGGGTACGGGCTTTTGACCCATGCCCATATAGGAAAACCAACAGGAAAACCATACTTTCTTGTTTGGGGGTCCCCTCAAAAATGACACACCCACATGGACTTCTGGGTGGTATTGTTGCAAAGTTTACTGCTGCAACAATGTTGTTGACTAGGCCACCACGATCCACCAAGGATCCAGAAGATCAGCGGAACACGTCAACATGAGCTGTGACAGCTCCAAAACACAACAAGCCAGTATCCACAGCCAGAGCAGCATCCTCACCTTCCAATTGGGGGGTTGGCAGTTTGGATTTTAGGACACTGTCCATTTCGTTTCGAAAGCAGCTGGGGTGACAATTCCCAAGGCACAAATCCAAACCACCACTCAAGCAATAGCTGGTGATCTCCCGTTGCATGATGCAGGGAACCATGCAAGTATTTTTCACCATCGTGTACTTGTGCTCTCATCAAACAACACTGACAACACCTCTTGATCAAGCTTGAATGCACTTGCTTGCAATGCAAACTGGTTTGAATTTGTGTACCACCTTCTCAGTCATTCCCAAACCGCATCCCGCGGAGAGGTTCAGAGCGTGCTTTAAGATTGATTGTACACTAGTACCAGTAAGCAAAGGTTTGGTTCAGCTCCAAATCAAATGGTCGCATCTTTGTCATGCTCGGGGCTTGAAAGGCAAACCTGGAACCCAAACGGACCCGCCACCCCCCACTCCCCATTTTAGGGCACCGGAGTGCCGGGCGCACTTGTCTTTGACACTGAAGCCCGTGCAGCTACTGGCCAATGCGTGTGATCTCATACTCTGCGTAATTCGGGATAATTGATACCTTCAACCCTTTCACCATTCATTGTGCAGTCCATGCAGGCTTGAAAGCTGCCTTGAACAGTTTGCGTAAATGTCGATGTGTTGTTTTGTCCCTGAGAATCAGTTGGACCCTTCAAGGTGAACATATTCAAACAATTGTCACACATATTCAAAAAACAAAACTGAACAGCCTAAATTCTAGCTGCCCTAGTAGCTACAAACAAGGGGTTGGGTGGTTGGCAGGCAGGCTGGTTGGTTGCGGGTAACACCTGAATATTATAGCGGAAATCCAATCCAACTCCAAAACATATTTTCCACATAGACCAAACACATATTGAATGGATTTGAAGGAGTGTCACTATCTCGAACGCCCCTTATGCCTATGAGTGCCCCCGTGAATACGCCTGGCCCAAACAAATGACCGCGACGCATCAACGCCACGGCCTGTAGACGCTACCTCAGTGACGAACACATCGCGCAAATCTAAGGCACGCAAGCTTGCTGCAATGTTTGCAGTATTTCTAAACCTGAATTAAGGGATCCCCAAGTAAATGGCCTTTATCACGGTGAGCTCGTTCTATCCCCAGGTGAGCTCGCTATAAACTAGGCAGGAGGATTGTGCAATGGGAACCCAGGATTCCCCCGCAGCTGATGAAGAGGGACGGGTGTCCCATGAGGGTATCCTTCACTTTTGGAGACACAAGATTCGTCCGCAAGGCTGCATCCGGTCGCGCCAACGTTGCCCGCAAGTTGATGCGGCAGCTTCCCAAGGCTCGAGCCACAAGTGTAGCCTGCAAACTCAACGTCTTATGGATGCGGACGAGCGACGCGACTTAGGGACTTGAGTGTGCCCCAGGGCCAACGAATAGAATTTGTGTCAATTGCTACCCTTTCTTGCCACATATATTCCAAAGACTACGGGACTGTGGCCACATAGATGCACGAACAGACTACGGGCCCTGTCATTCATCCAGTCGTGTCCACGTCATTTACAAATCGATGCCGACAATGGATGCTGCTCATCCTGGGCTGTCCTCAGATCCCCCGCTAAAAGATCAACTTTTTAGATGGAAATCCCATGAAGCCCCCACTACAAACTAAAAAGCTAAAAGCCTAAGGGGATGGCTGGGCACCACTAAGGATCAGATTGCTTCACCCAACCCCACACCTATCTCACCGGCCACCAGCTCGTTGGTCTCAGCGTGCCACAGCCTCAGGACCCAAGTAGACCCCTGAAAAGTCACGCAGCCACAGCATGCGGGGCCTTTCTTCCTGTCCAAAATCCATTCACAAGCATGCTATGAAGTTGAAAACAGGCCAAGTTGCTAATCAGTAGCAGCCCTGCCAAGTTTTTGCCTGGTTCTGGTGAAATGTGGTCAACGCATGTTGCGCACTAACTGATTCAGAAACTGCTGTGGCAAATATATTGCAACTAAGGTACCAGCCCGAATAACAAACATAAGTGCGAGGAGTCACTTTCTGTTGTCAGTAGTTCAGGTAGTAAACAGGCCATCATCATTTAATCTCCATAGATGGTCTGTGAATCAATCCCAAGGTCTGTGCGTTGCTTGGGACTTTCTGCGATTCCATGATGTCGTGCTAGATGTACCGTCAGTCGTTTGCATGAACAACAATTATGGGCATGGATCATGGATCTACATTCTCCAATATATACCCTCTTCCCCTTTTGGAGGGATTTACTTATTGACCCCCCCAAACACAAAAAACACAACAACGAGAAAACCACGCTTTCTTTTTTGCGGGGGTCCCCTAAAAAGGAGACACCCTCATTCTGGTATTTCAATTGAAACCAACAGGAACCACCAACCATTTTGGTAGTTAAAGACCAAACGGACCCGTTTCCGCGGAGCCAAGGACCCAGCTCTACGGACATAAATCGGATGCCTCTCCGCCACTTTGGACCTAAAGCGTCCGGGTTTTCGAAAATCCACCGCCGACATAGTTGGTGTCCTTTTCGTTTCCCTTGAAATACCCAAACATGGGCGTCTTTTTTTGGGGGGGATCCACCTGGTGGTTTTCCCTTTGGTCTCCCTTTAAATACCAACCGAAAATACTAAACAAAGGCTCTGACATCAACTTTGAGAAGCTCCCAACCTCAAGCTCCAGTCAAATCAGCCGCCCAAGCTAGGTGTGGAATTCGTGCAACAATTTGCTGGAGAAGACAAGTGTTTTCCCCCTGCTGGAAAACCCGCCCTGCCAAAATTGCCGAGGTTTTGGAAAACCGGAATCTGGGGGATACCCGTGCTTATGAGCTTGTCAACCCCAATTCTGTTGGCAGAGGGTAGTATTTTTGTGCGCTGTTTCTGGCTACCTGACTTTGGCGAGATCTGGAAGGGGAATTCTTGGAACTATGAAAGAAAGTAGATGGCAGAAGTATTATTTTGGTGGGCGCCAAGAACGGATGCCAGGGGGGGGGGGGGGTCGTTTTGCCAAACTTTCAGGATTCCTGTCAAGTAAAACTGGCTGACATTGGGTCAGAACAAGGGCCAGTCTTTAATCGGGCCGGCTATTGATGGGGAATTTATTGGGAGGCACTCCCAAACAACTTCATTCTAGAACAGCAGCACAGACTTACTCTTGCTAGTTCCATCGTAGTTGCAACATTGAATTGCATCTTGCGCCGTCTAATTTTGATTTGCAAGAACGAAACACATTAATAAGACATGTAGACCATTGTAATGTTTGATGTGGTATTGTGCTCAGCAAAGGAAGGGTAACCTTTGCACAAGGACCGAAGCGAAAACTGGCGGGATCACAATGATTATTACGTGGCAAAGAATAGGCACTCCTGCTTTGTTTGACAACATCATGTTTTTCCAAGGTAGTTTGGATCTTTGCCAACAAGATGGCATCCGTCGTCAACATATTGTGGCAAACATAACAGTTGGTCCGACTTGCTTTCCGCTCCCAGTAGGCGGTAGAATCAAACTGGGCGCATGGCTGAGTTTGTGCACATCCTGCGAAAAGGCACAGGGTCTGTTTCAGCGGACCTTCGATTCACAGCAACCGCCCCATTCTTGGCTGTCGGTCATCAGTGATGAGTCCACATCGCAGTATCCTGATCTCCCTCTTAACACATTGAATTGTCAAAGTTCAGCGGTCACGCTTGCCGGCAAAATGACAGCCCAGTGACAGCAGTGCAAAAGTTCGCACGAACTCGCGTCAGTCCTGATAGCCCTCCGCCACTTTGTCGCTGAGCCAGCAATCACCTGACAGTCTTCTGGTTTTGATTCCCAACATGATGCAGCTCTTGACAGCTGCCAAAGGACTGAAGTGCAACTGACAGCATTGTGGGGACGTTTTGTACAACTAATGTAACATGTATGTAACACATATGTGGTATATGTCAACTGTATTCCATAGCAATGAGATGGCACTATTTCAATTGGCTAAGCAACGCCCGTGTTACACATCATCACCTTCGCTGGATTGCTGGCATCCAATACAATCAGTTCGGCCCGTACCAAACATCTTGTTTACTTAGGGAACCTTGTGGTTTCCCCAGGCAACGGCTGTTCAAACTTCTCCGCCTTCCGGAGGGTTTGCTGTCTTGACCAGCTTCCACTCCACTCCGCTTGCTTCTGGAGCAAACAAATTGCCAATGGCTGGCTGGAGAACTGAGAGTTCGTGCTCCTGGACCTTCAAACCTTCAGACCTTCAGTTTCTCAACATGCCCACCAACATTGCCACTGGAAAACGTTAGCATCCGAGAATCCAGAAGCCTCCCAATCTGTTGCATCAGCAGCGAAAACTTGCGAAAACCGATGCCCTTTCGGCAAGCTGTGCCTGGGGCTGTGGTGTAAGTGAGCCGCTGGATGGATTCCACTACCTGCGCGAGCCAAATGCCATCCCTCTGGGCTGTTCAACAAATGGAGTGTTGGCCAATTCCATGATCCCGATTGGACACCACTACCAAGGGAACTCATTTCGTAACCATCGTGACCCAAGCTGGAACAAGCAAGGTCTAGTCTCTGCTGAAGCAATGCCGCACGAGCACGCACACACTCTAAGAAAGCGGGCACTTCCCGCGCTGTTCGCGGGTGAGCCTGAGCTCGACCCATTGCCTTGGGGTTCTCAAAGTAGGAAGCCGGGCCCAAAATGAGCGGTCTCTTCGTGCAAACGTGGGTGCGGAGGGACAAAACAAGTTGGCGCCCTTGTCAAACTCAACAACCAAGGGGACGGTTTATCCCTCTCCAACCAAATGTCGAACGCTTCGAACGGCGCCTCCCGCCACGCAGTGTCCACCGTAAGGCGGAACTCCTTGGCGCGTTTGCGCACCTGCGATTGCGCGAAGATCGGCTTGGGCTTTGGCACCAGCGGCTTTCGGGTGGAGGTCCCAGGAATTTGAGGGCATGCGCTGGCACTGCCATGAGGTGCCAAGTCGCTGGCAGTTGTATCAGCAAGTCAGCAACACCCACATGCCAAATGCCGAATGCAAAACGTGAGAGGATTATTCTCAATACATACATGTTGTTGAAGCATTGGCGTCCACTCATCCATCACTGGTGCTGAACTTGATCACCCAGTAACTTTGCTACATATTGACTATATTGGCGGCAACCAAAAGGAACAGCAGCATCATGAAGCCATCAAATACTACAGCCCTTACCATGCGCAAGGGCGCCCTTTCTGCTCTTCAAACCAAACACAATACACACGTGCAACAAGTCTGGAGGACCATATCAATCTGAAGAACCCCCCCCCCAAACAACCACCATGATTCGGTGCACAACAAACCCGAAGCGACATCCTCAAGCTCATGTAACTCGTGGCCTACTGGACCCCGCACCCCCAAACAAATAATACACATACGCATATCACATATAAAACAAACATGAAACATTGAGAATCTCAAAATGCAACCGCTTTAAGTGACCCACAACAAGACCGGCCGAAAAACAAAGAACAAACAAAACGCAACCGGACAAAAAATGTGGCCTTCTTGGGCACGTGCGTCTTGCGGGGCTCCAGGACACAACGCTTCATGTGCATCTTGCCCAGCAGGAGATCGACCTCGGGGAATCAACCCTTGGCACGGAACAAGCAACAAACTATGATTTGTTTTTGCCTACCAAAAAATGAAGAAGCAACAACAAACAACAACGAAACAAATGCCAGCAACAGTGAAGCAATGTCGAAATGTTCTGTTCCTTCACCTTCTATGCCCAAAGTCTTTGGTTTGGGAGAACCTTTCCGCTTGCCCAAATGCCAATGCTTGGTTGTGCTAAGCGACAAAATCGCTTCGACGTTGTATTTGGGTGTCTTTCTTTAGGGATCCTAGCCAGTCATTGAGAACAAGGACTTCAGTTTTCTCTTGGCATCACATTGATACAAGAGACGAACTCCAAGAAGGACTGATTCTTTTTATGATCTGTCATGTCTCCTGGATCAAAGGACTAGTGAGCGTGGCATGTCCCTAAAGCACTCACCCTCCCACCCTCTCACACCCTTCGCGCCTTCCCACCTTCTTCCCTCCCATCCACCCCTGTTCACCCCCCAAGACCACCACCACCCAAAACCGAGGAGTTTTTTCCAGGAACCTGCCCAAACCAGCCAAACACTGATCAAGTTGCAGCCATGGCTTATGGTCGAGGCTAAGATATCTTTCGTTTGCCCTGGCCTTACCCCAAACATCCAGCTGCGCGCCAGGCGTTTCTTCGACCCTCAGGGCGGCCGACCCATTCACCCCTCGAAATGAACGTGCAAACACGTGTTCGGCCGTGAATTGCACCCCACTCATCTCAAAAAAGTGAGGCGATGATGCCCGGCACAAAACATAAGGCAGTTTCACGGTGAGCTTCCTGAAAAAACAACAAACGAAAAAGGTATCCGGCCCAACACAAGGCACCCCGCCATGCAACCAAAAAGCGCGCTGTTCGTCTGGGTGTGGGCATCCCATTTGGCGGGTTTCAAGGGGAAACCAAAAAACATTGCCCGTTCATGGGTGCCCCAATTTTCAGATAATGATAAGCCCATGCTCTATGTTTGCTCTAGCCGAGGCGCAACAAAAAGACAGCCTGGCATGCTTCCTTGCCTCTTTGTTCATGCATTTGTTCATGCATTTTTTTCAGGCACATAATCAAGGCGCGTGCAGACCCAAGTTTGCCAGATACTTTGTACAATAGGGGGCTCAACAAATGGTTCGTGTCCAGTTCGTTCCCTTTAAAGCAGCCCAAAAGGGGTACCCTGAAAGACTTGCGGTGCAAACATATCCAGCATTGAAGCAGTGGACATAAACCAGCCCACAGCCACTACATGAAGGCCTCATGGTGCACGGAGGGCATCTATGTCAGCTGGGGGCTGCCTTTTTCGAGCGAACTCGTACTCGCCATTGAAGGTTTACGCCGCAAACAACTAAATGAACGTATCCATCAGCTGCTTCACGTCGCCATCCTGGAATATTCCTGCAACAGTTCCTCGTCTAGTAGCACCCTTCACATGTCTGTCAACCCACACTGATGCTGCTGAGCATACTCCACCAAGCAACCAGCCACCAGCCCTAAGACCGAGGAACAGAAACCACCTCATCCATGACCGTGAGGTCTGTTTGACAAAACAGCAAATCAATACGGGAACTTAATACTTGAAACAACAAACACGAAGGACAGGTCATCCAGCCGCGCGTAAGGTTCAGATTTCAACAGCAAACGTCACGTGCTTAGGCTGGTTCAGGGGACCGTGTTTTCCACCCCCCAAAACTTGCTTTTCTTGTCTGTGTTTTGCTTGGCGCAGCCAATGGTTAGGGCCCACAGCTCAGGGACGTCCAGCCCGCCCTTCGCCGTTTCCGAGACTCCGGCGCCGGACATGGGCAGGAAGCCGTGCCACACCAAGAGCGCGATGACGCTCGCGGTGCGCTGGCGCAGCCAAAGGTTTGGTGCTCGCCAGAGCCGCCAGGGCTGGCCCAATGTCAAGCAATGTGAAAGGAAGTAGCCACACATTCTCACTCGAGTGGCGACGTGTTGATTTTTCTTGCTTGCCGCTGACCATCTTCTCAAAAAGTTTAAAGCCTCAGGAAGTGAGCAGGACTGCGTTGTGGCTTCCCTGGGCAACCGGGTCAACGTTGATGATTTGCCCAAGGGTCTTGATATCCTGGAATGCTTGGGAAAACATAAAGCAGCCCTTTTGCGGACCAATCATTTTTGGTGGAACCTCAAAGGGAAATGGGTCTGAACTGAGAATCACGGGCAGGGCAAAAAACACGTGCTTCCCCTTTTTGTTGCGTTATCGTTGTCCAAGTGCTTTCTTTTTGGCATCCAACACTTTATTCAGTGAGAAATGGAACGAATTCACTGGGCGGCCTCGTGTACATGCAATGGCCAGGACCTATACCTCGAAGGGTCCGGGAACTCTTGGAATTTGTATCCAGCAGCCAG